TTTTTTTTGATTTATATAGATGATTTCTCTTTACAAGTCAACATTCTTGTAATTTATATCCGTAAGAGGTGGGAATGCAAAATTATCGTGTATAAACCGGCGAAGATAACTGTAAAATGAGGTGAGGAATATCTGGTGCAAAAGATTGATTGAAGCTGGTGTCCTGGTGAAGGTGGGTCAAGAGTTGAAAATATTTCCGTGTAATTTCGCGAAATTTATTAACTGTCTGTAGAAAAAAAAAATCGAAAGAAAGAAAACGAAAGTTAAAACGAGCTTATAAATTCGTTACCTTCTTTGATATAAAATTCTTGGACAGGTTTATTACTATCTTTATTTTCTATGATAACTTTCTTTAAAAAGGCATGGAGAAACGTTTCTAAAATCGCATTGATTTTCTTTTAATTAAAATGAAAAATTAAAATATGGCGCGTTAATAATTGTGAATTAACGAAGAGAAAGTTTTGTTGTAAATAAACATAAGGTACATAAAGTTTAATATTGAAATAATTTATTTTTCAAACTAAAAAGAAAAAACTAAAGAGACAAAAAAGTACCAATAATAGATAAGCATTACAACCCATATCTTTTTATGTTAATATTGCATGACGTTAAAAAATTGTTATAAGAAAATCAAAGGGGTTGTGAATTTCATTCCCTTAGAGGGCGCTAGGAAAGTTTAAGGTATGGTTGAAAATAAGGTATTAACCAATTTAACAGCTCATAGCTCGAAAACAAAAGAGTTGCGACCCTATGTTTATATAAAAAACTTGTCTTATTTTTCCAAGTACTACATTCTAGTAAAGTTTCGCGATTAAAAACTGAACCACCCTCCCTGTATATTACAATATACAGGATGTATTAAATGTCTGGAATATAACCAATAACTTCACCATTTGTGGTTTTAAAGAAAAATGTTTCAAATACAAGTTTCTTTATTAATCATGGCGCATTTTTTGGCGTTATTTGCTTGTTTGTATTGTTTTTTGTTTCGTTGCTATGGCAACCAACATTGATTTTTTTAAATGGGATGCATATATTTTTTTTGCATACTTTGATAGAAGATAAGTCCCTCTATGCGATGAACATATCAAATCATATGGTTGTATAAGAAAAAAATCAAGAAAAAATGCGTTTTTTGAAAGTCTTAAATCAGCTAATTACAATCAAAGTAGGCACCGAAATAACGCCGTTGAGAGTTTTAAATGTCAAAAAAATTACAGTTTCAAAAATTATGAATAATTAATAATGTATGGTCAGTGGTAACTGTTTTTGGTCAGCAACTTTTTGGAAGATTGAAGATTTTTGGATACTGTGGATTGTGTAATTTGTGTATTAGTATAAATTAGCTTTTAGGAATTTTTAAATTAGCATCTTTTACTTTTAGGTTATACGAAAATGTAAGTTTTGTTTCAACATTTCTTTTCTCAATATTTTTCCAATCCAACCCAATAATTATTATACATCATTTTAAAGAGAAAGCTTTCAGCTTTAATTTAGAATAAGTCTCATTCCTTAATTTCAATAAATACGGCATCCAGGAATTTTTAAATTAGCATCTTTTTGACACTTTTAGGTTATACGAAAATGTAAGTTTTGTTTCAACATTTTTTTTCTTAATATTTTTCCAGTCCAACCCAACAATTATTATACATCATTTTAAAGAGAAAGCTTTGAGCTTTAATTTAGAATAAGTCTCATTCCTTAATTTCAATAAATACGGCATCCAGGAATTTTTAAATTAGCATCTTTTTTGACACTTTTAGGTTATACGAAAATGTAAGTTTTGTTTCAACATTTTTTTTCTCAATATTTTTCCAATCCAACCCAACAATTATTATACATCATTTTAAAGAGAAAGCTTTGAGCTTTAATTTAGAATAAGTCTCATTCCTTAATTTCAATAAATACGGCTTCCAGGAATTTTTAAATTAGCATCTTTTTTGACACTTTTAGGTTATACGAAAATGTAAGTTTTGTTTCAACATTTTTTTTCTCAATATTTTTCCAATCCAACCCAACAATTATTATACATCATTTTAAAGAGAAAGCTTTGAGCTTTAATTTAGAATAAGTCTCATTCCTTAATTTCAATAAATACGGCTTCCAGGAATTTTTAAATTAGCATCTTTTTTGACACTTTTAGGTTATACGAAAATGTAAGTTTTGTTTCAACATTTTTTTTCTCAATATTTTTCCAATCCAACCCAACAATTATTATACATCATTTTAAAGAGAAAGCTTTGAGCTTTAATTTAGAATAAGTCTCATTCCTTAATTTCAATAAATACGGCTTCCAGGAATTTTTAAATTAGCATCTTTTTTGACACTTTTAGGTTATACGAAAATGTAAGTTTTGTTTCAACATTTTTTTTCTCAATATTTTTCCAATCCAACCCAACAATTATTATACATCATTTTAAAGAGAAAGCTTTGAGCTTTAATTTAGAATAAGTCTCATTCCTTAATTTCAATAAATACGGCTTCCAGGAATTTTTAAATTAGCATCTTTTTTGACACTTTTAGGTTATACGAAAATGTAAGTTTTGTTTCAACATTTTTTTTCTCAATATTTTTCCAATCCAACCCAACAATTATTATACATCATTTTAAAGAGAAAGCTTTGAGCTTTAATTTAGAATAAGTCTCATTCCTTAATTTCAATAAATACGGCTTCCAGGAATTTTTAAATTAGCATCTTTTTTGACACTTTTAGGTTATACGAAAATGTAAGTTTTGTTTCAACATTTTTTTTCTCAATATTTTTCCAATCCAACCCAACAATTATTATAGATCATTTTAAAGAGAAAGCTTTGAGCTTTAATTTAGAATAAATCTCATTCTTTAATTTCAATAAATATGGCTTCTAGGAATTTTTAAATTATCATCTTTTTTGACACTTTTAGGTTATACGAAAATATAAGTTTTGTTTCAACATTTTTTTTCTCTATATTTTTCCAATCCAACCCAACAATTATTATACATCATTTTAAAGAGAAAGCTTTGAGCTTTAATTTAGAACAAGTCTCATTCTTTAATTTCAATTAATACGGCTTCCAGGAATTTTTAAATAGGCATCTTTTTTGACACTCTTAGGTTGTACCGAAATGTACATAGGTTTTATTTCAACATTTTTTTTCTCAATATTTTTCCAATCCAACCCAATAATTATTATACATCATTTTAAAGAGAAAGCTTTGAGCTTTAATTTAGAACAAGTCTCATTCTTTAATTTCAATAAATACGGCTTCCAGGAATTTTTAAAATGGCATCTTTTTTGACACTCTTAGGTTGTCCCGAAATGTAGGTTTTATTTCAACATTTTTTTTTCTCAATATTTTTCCAATCCAACCCAACAATTATTACACATCATTTTAAAGAGAAAGTTTTGAGCTTTAATTTAAAATATGTTTCGTTCCTTAATTTCAATAAAAACGGCTTTCAGGAATTTTTAAATTAGCATCTTTTTGACACTTTTAGGTTATACGAAAATGTAAGTTTTGTTTCAACATTTTTTTTCTCAATATTTTTCCAATCCAACCCAACAATTATTATAGATTATTTTAAAGAGAAAGCTTTGATCTTTAATTTAAAATAAGTCTCATTCCTTAATTTCAATAAATACGGCTTCCAGGAATTTTTAAATTAGCATCTTTTTTGACACTCTTAGGTTGTACAAAAATGTAGGTTTTATTTCAACATTCTTTTTCTCTATATTTTTCCAATCCAACCCAACAATTATTATAGATTATTTTAAAGAGAAAGCTTTGAGCTTTTATTTAAAATAAGTCTCATTCCTTAATTTCAATAAATACGTCTTCTAGGAATTTTTAAATTATCATCTTTTTTGACACTTTTAGGTTATACGAAAATGTAAGTTTTATTTCAACATTTCTGTTCTCAATATTTTTCCAATCCAACCCAACAATTGTTATAAATCATTTGAAAGAGAAAGCTTTGAGCTTTAATTTAAAATAAGTCTCATTCCTTAATTTCAATAAATACGGCTTCCAAGAATTTTTAAATTAGCATCTTTTTTGACGACACTTTTAGGTTATACGAAAATGTAAGTTTTGTTTCAACATTTTTTTTCTCAATATTTTTCCAATCCAACCCAACAATTATTATACATCATTTTAAAGAGAAAGCTTTGAGCTTTAATTTAGAATAAGTCTCATTCCTTAATTTCAATAAATACGGCTTCCAGGAATTTTTAAATTAGCATCTTTTTTGACACTTTTAGGTTATACGAAAATGTAAGTTTTGTTTCAACATCTTTTTCCTCAATATTTTTCCAATGCAACCCAACAATTATTATACATCATTTTAAAGAGAAAGCTTTGAGCTTTAATTTAAAATAAGTTTCATTTCTTAATTTCAATAAACACGGCTTCCAGGAATTTTTGAATTCGCATCTTTTTTGACACTTAGATTATGCGAAAATAAGGCGATTGCATATTTTGTTAAAACTAATTGTGAACATATTTCTAGTTTTCTGCCAGTTTGGCCAATATAAACACCTTTACATTCAGAACACTTGATTGAATACACATTTTCTTTCATTTTACTATTAATTAATCTTATAATGATAATTAGAAAAGATATTAAGTATGTTGTTCCTATTGGAAAAAGCCAAAGAAATGTTGTATTTAGAAAAGATGATTGGTAACATTATTAAAGTCAATAGGTTTATAAATGTTGAGTTCTTTTTCGGGTTTCGAATGTAATGATCGGTCTTAAATATATATTTTATTAAAAAGATTGTTAATAATTTTCAAAGGAAATTTGGCTAAATTTTGTATAAAATTCATTTCTTTAATTTTATTTTCCTTGGATAGAGGATAATTATTTAATTTAATTATTTAACTTGCAACATGGATAAATGTGAATATACAATAAAAACATACAACAATCTAGCGCTAAATAACAATTAAAACTAGAACTAACACTAGAAAACTAAAATATACAACAAACGGTTTAGTTTAACAAAAAAAAATATTTACCTTGTATTGTACTAATTGTTGGGTGAATATTTTTCTCAGAGTATTTAGGCGGTTTAAAATGAAAGAACGAAGGGGAATACCCCGATCCAGTTCTACTAATCGAGCTAAAAGCTTCCTCCTTATCCTCCAAATAAACCCCATCTTTTCCTGTTGCAACTAATTGTCTCCCTTTCGGTATAAACATCACCGCGAAAATAACCGCACCTGTTACAACAAGTCCAAGTCCAAGACAAGCATCGCGATGTCTCTCGAGTACAACAAATCCACTCAACGTCCAAACCAACCAAATTGGTACACTACAAAATATCGACAACCCAATATAAGTTGATTCCCGATAATTACTTCGTATACTTCGCGATTTCATCGCTAAAGCACCGACGAAAATGATTAAAAAGACAACGTAAATTAACGACAAGAGGATGTCGGAATATTGTGTTTTGCAGAATGGGATAACAATCGATTTGGTGACATCATCCGCGGTTACTAACATTGTGTGATGATTCGAGATGACATCGAAAGTTCTTTTTTGGATATCGGCCGGGTTTGTTAAAAGCCATTGGGTTCCAATTGCTATTTGAATAAGAATTGCGAAAAACAACAGGAGACTTTGATAAGTAGCCGGGAGATAAACGCCACTGTTCAAACTAATCAAAAAGATGCATTTAACGAGTAATGAGGCGAATATAATTGCGTACGCTAATCCGGTACCGAAACGAATAACCGCACACGTTAACGGAGTCGGTGTCGCTGCTATAATTATACCAAGAGTACCGCACATAAACACTCCTAAAAGAAGTACTTGTCCTAAAAATAAATGTCTTCGGCTCGGCGTGTTACGCGAGACTTTTAATAGTACGTAAAATTCGAAACACACAATAAAACTAATTAAAACCACAGCAATAGCTAGTAAAGGTACCACCCACGGTTCATTTCTAAACAGCGAAATTTGACCAAAAAAATCTTCGTTTTCAACGATCTTTTTCGATGAATCTTTTGTTACGATTGTTTTTATCGTTGTGGTCGTCGTCGGTTTTGAAGGAATCAAAAAATATTCGGTGCTCAATTCTAAACGCCTTTTTAATGCAAAAACGTCGAGCAACGTCGAATTGTTTTGGGCGCTTTTGTTGAAGTACTCTCCGAAACGATCTTTCAGATCGGATTTTGAAACTGAATCGAGAAGATCGCCAAATTCCATTTTGGCACATCCTTAACTGTTCGGTTCGCGCGGTGAACTGAATCGGCTGAATCGCCGCTCGAGGAAATGTTCAAGACGTCGTGTTGTGAGAAAGAGGAGGAGTTAATGTAGAGAGAGGATTCGGTTTGGTAAACAAACGTGGTTGAAAAAAGAAAAAAAGAAAAAGGTGCGAGAAATATTATTTCTTTGACCTCAAAAAGTTTATTAATTTATTATTATAAAAAGAAAATAACATAATAAAGCTGCATTAGTTAATTCATTAGATTTAAATTTCCCAAAAAATTTAGCGTAAATGATCAATTTTTCTTAAATACTGTTGGCGTTGATACTCATAATCACTAACATCCGTTCTAAATGCAATGTACATGTAAAGAGATAACATTGTTGATAATAAAATCCGATCCAAACTAAAAATAAAAAAAATTAGATAATTATATAATAAGTATACTCTATTTTTTAATTCGGAGGAGTGCTTTTTAAGTTATTGTATACAATTTTAGAATTTTTAGATTATTTACAATACTATTTGCCCCCTCTACCCTCCCCTCCTCCTCCATTTCCACACCCTGGGCTCCTCGGCCCAATCACCCCCTCATCCACCTCTCCCACAATCTGCTTCCTATCTAAACCCCCCCAATATCCACACAAAACCCCTATTCTTCCGCGCCACCACCATCCCTTTGTCTCCTCACCCCCACAACCCCTCTCATTCATCGCTTCCCCTCTCCCCCCTCTCCCTAAATCTGTCTTCGCTCCATCTCCTCCTCCCTCAACTCACTGCACCCATTCAACATATACTCCAACGTTTCCCATTCCTCCCTGCACAGCCTACACCACCTCTCCTCATCGGCCATCCAGTATCTGTTAGCTCTCTCCTCATTTCCACAACGGAACCTCGCCACCAACTTCTTCCCTTCCTCATCTCCTTCCAACAACAAGTATCTAGGCAGCCCCTCCGTAATTATGTCCCTATACCTTTCCTTATACCTTCCCTCTTTTATTTGTGTCGTTCTTTCCTGTCTCTGCACATCTCGGTCCCTATCTCTCAACTCCCTCCACATCTCCCTACCCACCCTTCGTCTACTATTTATCTCAGTTACCGAATAGCCCGCTCTTCTATAATAGTCTCCTTTCCCATATCTGACCTTTCCCTCCAACACTCCCCCAAGATGACGCAGTTTGGCCTCCCTTATATTCTTTCTTCATATTTGACTGCCCTCCTGCCCGCCTCCACTCTGACCTTATCCACCCCAAGCACCCATCTCTAGCTTGCACGTCCTCCAGCATTTCCTGCTCCCTCCATCCCCATACTTCTGCCCCATACATCATCTTCTGCTAACCAGACCTTCAAACATAATTTTCCTCGTTGCCACATTCCTTCCAAAGACTCTCTCCCTCCAATCCCATACTTGTCCCATCACCTTATTCGCCTTTTTTGCCATAGTCTCCCTGTTATCTTTTCTAAACACATACCCCAGGTAAGTATACTCCCTAACCTCCTCGATCTCCTTTCCCTCCCATCTCCAATTTTCTGTTCATTTTCGCCCACCCTTACAGAACGTCATCATCTTTGTCTTCCCCACATTCACTTCCAACCCCTTAGTCCTAAAATATCTTTCCAATGTCTTTATCATATCCTTCATCTCCACCGCCTCTCTCGTCATGACCACGATGTCATCCGCGTATGTCCCTGCCTCAGTCCCTTCGTTGTCCAGAACACGTGGCTCAGCTTATCTCCCACTTTTATCCTAACCCTAGTCTCCATGTATATTTCCTTAANAAGACTTTTATACTAGTTTTTATAATTAAATTTTAGTTGTTATAACTAAACTTTGGTTTTTTATTAAATTTTAGTTTAAAAAAATTTAAGTTCTACCTTGTCCTTGTATGACTGTCATAAGTCTTTTCAGGTACTTGAACGGGCAAAAATCACCCCGGCTTTTATTTATGACTGTCATAAAAACCAATCTGGATGTGGAAGAGTATACCTCAGTGTTTCTCTCGTCACCCCAAGCACCCATCTCAGCATTCCCAGCTTCCTCCATCCCCATACTTCTGCCCCATACATCATCACACTGCTAACCAGACCTTCAAACATAATCTTCCTCGTTGCCACATTCCTTCCAAAGACTCTCCCCCTCCAATCCCATACTTGTCCCATCACCTTATTCGCCTTTCTTGCCATAGCCGACCCCTCCCTGTTATCTTCTCTAAACACATACCCCAGGTAAGTATACTCCCTAACCTCTTCGATCTCCTTTCCCTCCCATCTCCAATTTTCTGTTCTTTTTCGCCCACCCTTACAGAACTTCATCATCTTTGTCTTCCCCACATTCACTTCCAACCCCTTCCTCCTAAAATATGTATCTTTCCGATGTCTTTATCATATCCTTCATCTCCACCGCCTCTCTCGTCATGACCACGATGTCATCCGCGTATGTCCCTGCCTCAGTCCCTTCGTTGTCCAGAACACGTGGCTCAGCTTATCCCCCACTTTTATCCTAGCCCTAGTCTCCATGTATATTTCCTTCACTCTCGCTATTAGGTGTTCCGTGATCCCCCTCCTCCCCATTTCCGCCCACAACTTCCCCTTGTCCATCTTATCAAAAGCCTCCTTCAGATCTAAAAACAGGGCGTACAATTTTCCTCCCTTCTTATCCAGCTCTCTATCTGCTAGATGCTTCAGCACATACACGTTGTCGATTGGTCCCTTTTCCTTCCGAAAGCCTGCCTGACGATCCGGCAAAATTCCCCCCAACTCCATCTCCTCCTCCAGTCTTCCCAACATTATCTTCGTGTATACCTTGTATGCCGAGTCTAGTAGGTTAATTCACCTATAGCTATCTACAATTCCCTTATTACCCTTTTTATATATTAGGCAAATTACCCCCACTTTCCATCCCTCCGGAATACCAACATCTCTCCGAGAGTTTTTTAAATCGAAGCATCAAAAAGAAAGGTTGCTATTGGTCAGTTTTATACAAAAATTACATTAGGAAAATTCGAGTTGTTGCCGGACGTCTAGAAACATTCTAGTGTTAGTTCAATAAAAATATACAACATAGTAATACCTTATGCAAACTAGCGTTATCTACTTCTGCCACTAGAACTAACACTAGACCAAGAACTAGAAACATTCGGGTTTAGCCGCACGTCTCTTAAGACGGCTAAACCCGAATGATTCTAGTTCTAGGTCTTGTGTTAGTTATAGTGCTAGTGTAAAACAGAAACCTAATTATTGCTTGAAATACTATAGAAACTGTTTGCAGAAGATTAAATATTGTTGGCAGAAGACAAATACCACATATGGATAACTAAACACTGGTTTTAGAAGACTAAAACTAATTGTAGAAGATAGATACTGCTTATAGAAGCCTAGATATAACTTGAAATAGTGTAGAAACTGCTTGCACAAGGTTAACTATTGTTGGGAAAAGGTAGATACTTCCTATAGATGGCTAAATACTGCTTGAAATAGTTTAAATACTGCTTGCAGATGATTAAATATTATTGGAACAAAGCTATACTGGAAAAAAAATGTAAACTTCTGCTTGAAATGGACTAAAAACTGATTCTGCCTTCAGGTTCAATACTGCTACAAAAAAGTAGGTATTGTTGAAAATAATCAAACAATACTTAAAAGAGAATAATCACTATTTTCAGAAAACTAGAAGCGTTTACAAACGTTTACGTTTTTTAATGTACAGGACTTCCATTATCTTCACTACTTTTCACAGCTTTAGTAGGAAGCTTAGGAACCACTAAAACTTGGATTATCAATTCATGTTGATGATACACGATCATCTTAACATGCAAGAATTCCTACAAGTTTATGCAAGTTAATTCTAGTGCAAAACTAGAACTAACACTAAACCGAGAACTAGAAACATTCGGATTTAGCCGCACGTCCCTCAAGACGGTTAAACCCGAATGAATCTAGTTCTAAGTCTTGTGTTAGTTATAGTAATATAGAAAACTAAACACTGTTTGCGATAGACTAAAAACTGATTACAGAAGACAGATACTACGTACAGAAGCCTAATTATTGCTTGAGATAGTATAGAAACTGTTTGCAGAAGATTAAATATTATTGGCAGAAGATAGATACCACACATGGATAACTAAACACTCGTTTTAGAATACTAAAAACTAATTGCAGAAGACAGATACTGCTTATAGAAGCCTAGATATAGCTTGAGATAGTGTAGAAACTGCTGGAAGAAGGTTAATTATTGTTGGAGAAAGGTAGATACTTCCTATAGAAGGCAAAATACTGCTTGAAATAGTCTAAATACTGCTTGCAGAAGATTAAATATTGTTGGCAGAAGATAGATACCACATATGGATAACTAAACACTGGTTTTAGAAGACTAAAAACTAATTGTAGAAGACAGATACTGCTTATAGAAGCCTACTATCCGTGCAAAAAGTTAAGGCCCCTCACTTTAGAGATCGATATCTTCGTAACCGCTCGATGGAAAAAATTGCGGTAAAGTTTATTGTAATCAGTGAACATTTCTGCGTATCACATGTTAATTTGGAAATTTGTCTACTTTGCGATTTTTCTTTTTTTCGGAACAGATGGTGCGTCCCATATAGTACGTCGCGCCTTTATCTTACCTACATAAAGAAATAAGGCGCGACGTCCTGTCTGGACGTCGTATGGAATATCGACAGAATAAAATATGTCACTCATTCAGAACACATCAGGTTACTACCTGTTCAAAATTCAAATTTTTTCGTACGATAGTTTCGAGAAAAAAAATCGCAAAGTTGTCGGTACCGTAACAAATCGGATACTTTTTTCATTTAACTCGCCATAAAAAGAAAACCGAGGATCCGAAATTTTTTAAATTAACATATGTTACGTAGAAATTTTCAGTGATTACAACAAACCTTGTCACAATTTTTTTTATCAAGTGGTTGCTAAGATATCGATCTCTAAAGTGAGGGCACGGATAGTAGATATAGCTTGAAATAGTGTAGAAACTGCACGCAGAAGATTAATTATTCTTCGAAAAAGGTAGATACTTCCTATAGATGGCTAAATACTGCTTAAAATAGTCTAAGTACTGCTTGCAGAAGATTAAATATTATTGGAACAAGGCGATACTGAATAAAAACTGTTAAATTCTGCTTGAAATAGACTAGAACCTGATTCCGTCTTCAGGTTCAATACCGCTATAGAAAAGTAGGTATTGTTGAAAATAATCAAACAATACTTGAAAGAGAATAATCACTATTTTCAGAAAGCTAGCAGAGTTTACAACCATCTAATATGCAGGACTTCTATTATCTTCATTAATTTTCACAGTTTTAGTAGGAAGCTTAGGAACCGCTAAAACCTGGATTATCAATTCATGTTGATGGTACACGATCATCTTAACATCCAAGAATTCCTGCAAGTTTAAGCAAGTTAATTCTAGTGCAAAACTAGAACTAACACAAAACCTCGAAGTAAAAACATTCCTAACCCGCTAAACGGGCTAAACCCGATACTATAACAGGTAAAAATATGCAACATAGCGATATTTTATGCTAACTAGCCCCAAGGTTTATATATTAAAGGTTGTCTAAATTCCTATACTGCAATACTTTGATTTTAGTTTGTGGGCGAGGGGCAAGAGCAGGAATGTTTCGTGACGTAAGCGATCACGGATTGCGCACGCAACCTCATGGCCATGTAGTGCTCCATGCATTTGTTTAATTTGAATTGCTTGGCGGTATTATTTTCCACGTGTGACGTAATACGCAGTATGGTTGCGTACGAACCTAGACAACCTTTTATATATAAACCTTGAACTAGCCCTATCTACCAGCCATCTTAAGAGGAGGTACAGAATGTTTCTAGTTCTAGTATTAGTCTAGTTTTATTTGTTATTCAGCGTTAGATTATTGTATATTTGTAGTGTATTAATCCGTTACATCGAGGTTTTAGTGTAATGTCAAATTATATTGACATGATGCGTTTTATGTGCGACAAAGTAAATAAGTACGTCCAAAATCGTTACATTATCAAAGTACCGCGGTTTACCGCCATTTTGGCTTGAAAGTTAAGCGGGAAATTAAAAACTATGTCGTTATGTTGATAAAATTACGCAAAATTTCCTTTCTTTTCTCTGAAGAGTCGAAAGCCCTTCTTACTGCTATTTTTGCAACTCCAAAGGCAACAAGACGGCATTATTTTTCTAAATAAGTGCACTGACAAGCTGTCAATCCGCCATTTTGACTCGAATATTTCGAATACACAGGCTTCATGAACCGCGGTACTTTGATATTCTAGGGACTTTAGGTATGCCCTGGTTTTTATTATGTTTAAAGAAATAAGTAATTAAATTCCTAACTAAAGTTTACTTAAAATTCTCTCTGGTTTTAAAACTCCCGCCAAAAAATGGCTTTGAAAAATTACACTGTGTAAATGTGACCTTTCATTTTACTCCTCCAAATTAAAAAATAGAGTATATAAATAATTTAATAACCTCATAACGGGAACTCCCCAAAATATTATGATTAAAATAAGAAATCCTGGATGTCTCATATGTCTATAAAGCTTTTGTAAACGTTGTGATTTATGGTTAAAGGGATCTCCGAGATTATTAATCCCATAATAAACTTGTTTAAACCCAAGAAGCTCTCCAATATCCATAAGAATACTACAAACATAAATCAACATCCACCCAAACGTATGTACAATAAGATAAATCCACCAAATTGGATCATTATTAAACTTATAACTCCATAAAGAAACGCTCGGAATGATTTTCCAAAAAACCAATAACAGTTGTACACTTATCGATGTTGCTAAAACGTAAATGCATCGTTGTAAACTTTCTATTTTGTACTTTAATAGGAATTCCTTAAAACTTTTATGTGCCATTAAAGAATGTTGTAGAATAAACGTCGATATTAGAATGGTATCGATAAATAAATTTCGAATTATCGTGAATAAATCATCTAAAAAATAACAATTAATTCAATATAACGATTATAAATAATACCACCTTGAATATGAGTTTCATTTGGAGTGAAATAATTCGGATTCGATAAAAAGAACGTAAAATGGGCCATGGTGTAAAACGTTGTTAAAAATGTTACGGTAGCGAATAAAACGTTAAAACCATTCTTTATTAAATTAAAACTCATTTTTCCAACGTTTTATGGCTATAATTAGTTTTAATTTCTTAAATTTCCAAAAAAAAATAACCTCAAAAATTAGGATGACATAACCTTAACCTAAAATAAAAGTAAACAATATTCATTTCTATATTCACGTTGATGATTCACATTAAAATACTTAAAAATTAATTACAAAAAAGATTTCATGATTAAATTATAATTATTATGGTTATAAAATAAATTAAAATTTAATTTTAATATTAATTTAAGTTTAATTTCTAGATTCGCTTTATTAGGTTTTGTATGAGTTGATAGTAATTTTATGAGGTTTTTAATAGATGGCGCGCCTCTTTTATTAAATTTAAATTATTTATGGGAAACTTAAATTTTAATTCAAATCGAATTTATTCACCAAATTTAATTTATATATTTATTATTTATTGGAAAATAATAATTATTAATTTAAATAATTATAATACATTTCATAAAAATAATAATAGAATAGATGGTCAAGGTCCGTTGAGTATTGGTCATTCTTATAATCTAGAGTGCTTATGCTGTTGTCCCCACCACGCCTAAAATGAAGCCAGAAAGGTCGCCATGTTAGATGTACCAACTTAGCGGGAAATTCGAAATTCTTTTATATACAGGTGTCCCCGGATAGGTGAAACGACTTTTATAAAATGTAAATTTTTTTTGATATTAATTGTCATCTTTTGGGATTCAGCCCTGCTTGGTTAAAGACTAATTTTGAACATATTTTCAAATTTTTAAAAACAAGTGACTGTTGACACTGAAGCGAAAACTTCTTGTGTATCAGGTAAAGTACCTTTTCTATTTACAGTATGGTAAAATGTTACTCAGAAATTTTATTCAGAATGAAAAGTTATGGCCATATGCAAATTTTCGGAATCATCGGCCTACTTTGATAAAACCCATTTTTTATTATTTTCGTCAATAGTACTTTATTACGATTTTTTGTTTTGAGATTCAGATTATTCGGAAAAAATAAACAAACCGTTCTTAAAATATTCACAAAAAATTAAGTGTGTGTTCGCCCTCAAAGAAAACAGTTAATTATAACTAACAGTTAATCAGTTTCATCATGAATTTTTTTTCTTAGAGTGAATACTTCCTGCTGTAAGAAATCTTTTGATTAAACGCCAACAAGTACTTCTTTTAATTCCAGTATTTGGACATTTTCCACTAAATAAAGCAATAACCACATTTATCGGGTTTTCCCCGGTTTCATAACACTGAATCACGTAAACTTTTTCCTCTAATGTTAACATGTATTTGAAAAACACTTTAAATTTACAAAATTACAGTTTGACAGATTAACAGTGACAGGAAAGCAATTTTGTTTTTCCATGGCAGTCTTTGTTAAAAATAAAATTGTTTGATATGGATTTTTCAAAGTAGGCCGATCAATCCGAAAATTTGCATATGGCCATAGTTTTTCAATCTGAATAAAACTTCTTAGTAACACTTTCACGAACTGTAAACAGAAAAGGTACTTTACCTGCCACAAAAAAAGTTTTTCTTTCACTATCAAGGCTCACTTGTTTTTTAAAAATTGATAATATGTTCACAATTAGTCGTTAATCAAGCAGGGCTAAACCCCAAAAAATTACAATTAATATCGAAAAAAATTTACATTTTATAAGATTCGTTTCACCTACCCGGGGACACACTGTATACTTATGCAAGAATTTACATTATTATAAACTGAAAAGACAGAAAATAATAACCAAAACAAAACATTAATTTTTTATTGATAAATAATTATTAATTATATAATATTTTAAGAACTTAATAATTTTTAGCCATAACCCTTATAATTAACATAAACTAAGAAGAAAATATTTAAAGCAATTCCGATTGATCACGTTAACCTTTGCTTATAAATAATTGTTAGTTTATTTAAAAGAACTGAAGAGTCGTATAGTATAGTATAGTAGTATAGAAACGCCGATTCTAAATAGGAAGTAGCTCCTCCGCTCCTCCGTGACGTCATCAACCCAATGTAAAAGGATAGAGAAGGGTACCAACCTAAGGCGGAGGAGAAAAAATAGGTTGGTATTGGAAAAGTAACCAGATCTGGTGACTTTTAAAAAAAAGTAACGCGCCACCTAGTGGTTGGTAGTGGATTAGTTCCACTACCAGCCAGGTAGACTGCTACTTTTTTAAAAAGTCACCGGATCTAGCTACCAACCTATTTTTCCCCCAAGCCCTTTTTTTTTCCCCCAAGAATCCTTTTACATCGGGCGGATGACGTCACGGAAGAGCGGAGGAGCAACAACTTCCTGTCTAGAATCGGCGTTTCTGAAAGATGTTGAACGCATAAAGGCGCGCCTCACAACTCTTCAACAATAAACTTTACTTGAACTTCAATTGAAGACCTCGTTGCAAGAAGGGAGTAGCTCCATTTATCAAGAGAAGGAGTTGCCCCCTTCTTATACCGAGGTCTTCAATTGCTAATTCCAAGTTAAATAACCAGAAACATTTTATGGACTGTTGTAAATAATCGTAAAACCTATCAAATTATAAGTAACATATGTGAAACGAAAAGAATTCGAAAACTTTCAACAAAAATCAAATTTTAATAAAAATAACAATATGTTTAGGAGAATTGCGAGGTTATAATTGTAGGTACAATACAGACTTGAAACTATAGCTAAGTTCAGGTCGGTACATCCAACATGTCTGACTTTCTGATTACCCCCACCACCACCACATACGCTTTCTAGATTATATATATAGATCTGTTTGTTAAGAAAATTTAACTAATAACATGAATCTAAATATCCGAGATCGTCAAGTACCTCGAAGTACCTGGAATTCCGAACACTAGATATAGAATTAGAAACATTCGGGTTTAGCCGTCTTTAAAGACGTGCGGCTAAACCTGAATGATTCTAGTTCTAGGTCTAATGTTAGTTCTATTTCAGTAGAAATAGACAACAATTTAACACTTAGTAACAATTAAAATATACAACATAGTGATATCTAGCAACATCATGTTTGGACTAATTTTAAAGGTTTTTTTAATAAAGAATACATCATAAAAGAACACCATGAATTTGTAAATTTGTCTATTATATGATAACTAACTTCAGATTTAAAATGTCAACCTCAATTTTGACATATTTTTGGAAGAACGATAGGAGACTATCGAACATCACCTTTTGTTCCTAAATTTATATAATATGTAAGTTTTGTACTTTCACGAATATGTATGCGGGTTTTTGTAAACAGTAAACTTGTTTATTATTATTATTATATTTGCAATCTTCATTAAAAATCCTTTAAAATAAGTACAAACACGACATATTTATCTTCAATATTAATGAAATTATGGTCAATTTTCGGTTACAAATGTCAACGTCAATTTTGACATATTTGTAATCGTCGTGAAAAATCCTTTAAAATGAGCCCAAACATGATACGTTTAATTCCAATATTATTCGAGATATAAGCGACTTCCGATTTGAAATGTCAATGTCATTTTGACATATTCTTAATTTTTATAAAATGTCTTAATATTTGTCACAAAAACAAAAATATAATAAAAAGAAATAAAAAATTAAGGTTGGTATTAATATTTAAAAATTAAATTGCTACCTGCATTGTTGCTAACTTCGGGTTTAACGTTTTTTATTCTAACTTTTTTGTTTTTTGAAATAAGTGCGTCATCTTTGGACTCATTTTAAAGGTTTTTTAATGAATATGTCAAATATGTCAAAATTGACGTTGACGTTTCAAACCGGAAGTGATTGTATTTCCATTAATATTAAAGTTAAATATGTCGAGTTTGGACTCATTTTAAAGGTTATTTTATGAAGATTACGAATATAATAATAAAATTAAAGTTGACATTAAAGTTTTTTTATGACTAAACCCGACTGTTTCTAGGTCTTGTGTTAGTTCTAGTGATAGTGCTAGTGTAAAACTAGAATTAACACTAGATCTAGAACTACAAATATTAGGGTTTAGCCGTGCGTTTTTAGACTTTTCTAAGTTCTTGTCTAAGACGCCTGGCCAGCCCAGGGATCTTAGATAGGAGAACTTGGGACTGATTGTATGTCGAAATCCCACCGTAAGATGGCATTAGCGTTTATACTGAAATAATTTAATTAAAGTAACAATTTTATTATTAATAGTGGGAATGATGACAGATATCAACAACAATTATTACCAGTGTCATTCTTTTAATTTAACAAGTATAGATTCCAATTCGTGTTATATTTTTAAATTTGTCGCTAACTTCAACTTTTAAAAAGTTGAAGTTTGTTCAGAATGACAGATGAAAACGTCATTTTAAAATGATTTTTTGGTAAGAGTATAATAAAGTAATAATGTTATGATTAAATAATTAGATTATAATTGACATTATAGCTTTGTTTCATCTAACGTTATAACTGGTTGGAAACTCGTCAGATGCAATCTCACATGTCATATGATGCCGTGATATTCAAATGTGGCGGCATTATTTGACATAAGTAATTGCATTTGAGGGATTCCCAACCAGTCAAAACCAGTGGGAACGTTAATTAACACTTTCCAAACAGCTATTCTGTGGTTGGAGTTTTTATATATACATAAACCCGATCCAATCTGTATTCTAGTGGTTTGGTTCTTAGCTGAATACTTCCAAAATATCCCCAATAGATGGCGCCACATGCGTTCAATTTTTAGTACGAAGTTTTTGTTTAGAGAGTTGCATTTCTACGAAGCTATTTTCTATGTGCCCGCTAAACCTAAAACTTTCTAGTTCTAGGTCTAGTGTTAGTTCTAGTTTTAATTGTTATTTAACCCTAAATTCTTGTACATTTTAATTGATCTAAAAAAAAATTTTTTTCATTTAATCCACTTACCTTGCTTATAATTACATCCATTTACCCATTTTGAATTAAATACAACCTTTAAATCCAATTAATTATGTGTTTTTCATTAAAAAAACTTAAATTCAACGTCAATTTTGACAAGCAACTGCAATATTTGGATCTTAATCACCATGGTAACCGAGTCAAGTTGGATAACCTTAAAATAATAAAATTTTATTCCGATTTTTTTATCAATTCTAACCTAATTTTTATTAATTTTAAAACAATTCGAATTCTTTACGATTATCTCGCATTCATAACAAATTCGTTAATTGTAATTAATTTAAACCGATTCTAATTAAGAGAAATAAATTAAAAATATCTTTTTTTGATTTAATCCACTTACCTTGTTTATAACTCCCTAGATAAACCAATTTTGAGTTAAATACAGCCTTTTAAACCAATTAAATAAAACTTTTTCCTTAAAAAAAACTTAAATTCAATTTCAATTTTGACAAGCACCTGCAATATTTGGATCTTATCACCATGGTAACAGAGTCAAGTTGGATAACCTAACAATAATAAAATTATAACCGTTAATATTAATATTTCGCTTTATATTTTAATATGTTTTTAATTTTATTTCCTCTTTTTTCTTTTACATTTTTGTATATTGCTTCTTAAGTGAAATACACTGTATAAATAATATGTTTACTCAACGGACCTTGAATAGATGGCGTTTTTTTTGACATTTACGTCAAATTAACCTCAAAACACAATTCTAATCAATTTTTATCAAAAACAAAGTGATTGTTGATTAATTTTATATTTTAATTAAATATTTTAAAATCATGGCGTTATTAAATTTAGGAGACGACCCTTGGTAAATCAATCAATCATTTATAACCATCAAAATAAATAATTTCTTTTTTAAGGTTATTGGAATATGAATCATGCGAAAAACTACGAAGAGATATCATGGAGCAATTATCACTAAGACAAACCCTGACTAAATCCTCCGATAAATTCGCAAGTCTCTCAGCAAACATTAGGATTCGATTAAAACAGTTTAATAACGAAGTTAATGAGTTACGGGGAAAACTCGAAGTGATTGATTTAAAAACTATGTTATAAACACTTTTATTCGTTAAATTACGATTTTATTTGTTATGTTATTTTTAGTACGTTTAGTGAAAAAGAAAGGCGTAATAGAAACGTGGAATTATTAGCATCGGAATATATAAAAATGCAAAAAGTGTTTGACGATGATAACAGGAGTTTTAATCGAGATAGAATTAATTTATTAGGAGCTTCCACTTGGGGATCGGATGATGAGCAACTTTTAGGGGCTAGTTCAACTGAAAAAACTGTCGGTGAATTAAAAACTGACCAAAAAACTATGTTGGAAGGTAATTTGACTGAAAATTTTGTTCTTATTAATTTTAATTCTTGTTAAATTTGATTTAGAACAAAATAAGGGATTGGAAAATTTATCAAATATATTAGCACGACAAAAAAACATTGCTAATACAATAAGTACAGAAGTTGATTTGCATCATGGTGAGTTTTTTTGTGTTTTAAAGTGTTGAGTTGAAATAAAAATTGATTTTTTAGATATTATCGAAGATTTGGGGTCGCACATTGATAGAACGGATGTTAGATTAGGTACAGAAACTCGTAATGTAGCTGCAGTTGATCGTAAGGATAACACATGCGTTTATTGGGTTGTAATTGTATTGTTATTTATAAGCATTGTTACTGTTGTTTGTATTTAATTATTTTTATCTTATTAATCTCTGTAATTAATTATATATATATTATTTCAATAAGGTAATCGTAAAATATATCTTAAAAAAGATTTTTTTAATAATTTTAGCTTATTTTGTTATCTAACTGATTTAGTGCAAAGAATATATTATATAAGCGAATTTCACTTAATGAAACGTGTTTTTTATGTTATTTTTTGTAATTCGCGCTTTTATCCTTTTTTTTTAACTAAAATAAAATAATTTTTGACAATGTAGGGAAATAGGTATGTAGCAGTTGGTAACACTTGAATATAAAAATTTGAATTGACAATTAGAAATTGTCAAAACACAAAATGTATTCACCTGATAAAGGTGTTTCATGTGCACCTCCCGAAATAAGAGAAATTGCTCAGAGTTTTATTAAAACACTACGTCCAAAGAAGTCCCACGAAAGGTACGAACAACAGTACGCTAAATTTAAGGCGTGGTGCGAAGAGAAGATTATAAAATGTTACTAAAATCTTGTTATAGCCAAGGTTCGTTGAGTAAACATACTGTATAAGGTTATCCAACTCCAGGAGCAATATACAAAAATATATAAAAAAAAAGATATAAAATAAAAAAAATATTAAAATATAAAACGAAATATTAACGGTTATAATTTTATTATTGTTAGGTTATCCAACTTGACTTGACTCGGTTACCATGGTGATTAAGATCCAAATATTGGAGGTGCTTGTCAAAATTGAAATTGAATTTAAGTTTTTTTTAAGGAAAAAGTTTTATTTAATTGGTTTAAAAGGCTGTATTTAACTCAAAATTGGTTTATCTAGAGAATTATAAACAAGGTAAGTGGATTAAATCAAAAAAAGATATTTTTAATTTATTTCTCTTAATTAGAATCGATTTAAATTAACTACAATTAACGAATTTGTTATGAATGCGAGATAATCGTAAAGAATTCGAATTGTTTTAAAATTAATAAAAATTTGATTAATAAGAAATCAAACATTTATT